TCTATTTTTAAATGTTTTTAATGATCCAAATTACATGAGTAAAACTAATATCACTTACACGTACCTTGATTAAAAACAGGCAATTTTCTTTTGGTATTTAATAATATGGTCATTATTCACTTAATTTATTATCTCTATTTAATTTTTTTATAGAAAATTTTATGTTTTATTAGCAAAATGTCTCTAACTTTATCTAACAATTACTATATATATGATTGTATATATGCTGAAAATGGATTTTGTGTTAATTTTCGTCTCGCAAAAACTAGTTTTTGGTGTAGTTGTGTATGAAGCAAGTGATTTAAAAAGGGTCCGGGAATTATTTATCCTCGCTGATCATTATATAAAATCACATGACTATAATGATTTCGTTTACGAGACTGATGATTCTGGTGATGAATGGTTTTAATGAAAGCATGTTCGGATTATTCGTTTTATTCGTTTTATATATTCAAGATTGAGTCATGTGATGTTATAAACCCGTGACACAAGAGTATCATTACTATTTTGGGATTTGAAGGTTTGGCAATGAGGCACAGCATTTGATATCTTTAGATGTCGCGCACTATATTAACAAAAAAAAAAGAAAATAAATAATACAAATAAATCAATATATGTTAGAAGATATTCTACGAAAAAAATTAAATTTACTTAGTCTCAATTTCTCAAGTGTATATAACAAAGTTTGGAATTTTCAAAATGCTAAGGCTCTGCCAATTTTTAGTTTAAGAAAAAGCTAGCCGATAAGTTTTGAAGCTTGAGTCATGAATAATAAAACTTATCGTTTAACTTTTTTAAAATGTTATAAAAATTTTTTGTTTTAGTATTTTGAAGCTGACCAATTGTTATTATATATAAGCGATTAATTTGATATAGATGATCTGCACCGTAGTGAAAAAAGCGCGATTTATTAAATTCCTGTTATGGATGTTTTGACCTAACTTTATTTTCTACATAACCGAAAAAATATACAACAAAAAAGTTTTTTAAAGGTGACTGACTATCTTATTGTTTGCTTTCTTAAAAAAGCAAGTTAATACATTAATGTCTATAAAATTTTAGGTGAGATCGCACATATATATATATATAAATTTAAAAAAATGTTCAAAAATTTAGAAAGCCAGCAAAAAAAGAAACAGGTCCATATATAACATCCAATAAATCTTTACGCGAGAAAATATATACTAATTAACTTAATTAATGTTATACATAGGTTCAACCACGTAATAAAAACTTAACCTCACAATGTAATGAAAATCTAGCAACTACGACACAAAAAATAGTTTCTACTAAAGATCTTGGTCTTGCAACAGCAACGCAAGTTGTCAACCCAGTCAATCCTAAAATCGATCTAAATATAACCACTTCATCTATTAATAATATTACTAATAATCCCTCGATATCATCAACATCAACATCATTAAATGTTACTAATAACTTTTTAAAAAAAATCAATTCTGCAATTTCTATTTCCACTAACAATAATAATGGTGGTGGTAATAATAATAATTTAATTGGTCGGAGAAGATTAGCTTTAGATGATGTTAGCAATATTAGTAATGTTTCGAATATATCTTCAAACCTCAACAACATTAGTCATAATAATGTAATCCTACCTATAAAACAATCAATCCTCACAACTACATCAATAAATTCAAGAAAAAGAACAGCAACTGTTACACAATATCAACAATTAAAAAATCAACAAAATGTTAATAATGTTAATTATAATAATGTGGTTGAGAAGAAGCAAAAAATAGAAGAAATTAATCAAATCACTTCAAAAGCTATTGCAATAAATAAACATAAACCAATTGGATCAAAGATCTCAGAAAAGAATCAAACAAAAGCAATAGAAACAAGGACTATAGCTGTCACAAAACAAGCAATATCTACAATAACAACTAACACAACAAATAAAAACGAACCCTGTGTGGTTACGGATCCAATATTAGTTACGACCATAGAATCTGAAATCTATGAAGCTGAATTAGAAAAAACTCGTGCAAAAAAAATAAGAACTCAAGAATGGGATGATTTCGATCTTGAGGATATGAGTGATCCCATGATGGTGGCAGAGTATGCAGTGGAAATTTTTGATTATTTGAAACTTTTAGAAGTATGATTTATCTATATTTCTTTTAGAGAATAATACGTATGATCACATAATTAATTATAGGATAATTTCTCTTCGCTCCGTGTATTAATTAATAGAGGGAAACAATGCCAAAACCTAATTATATGGAACTTCAAACGGAATTAAATTGGAAAATGAGAACGATCCTCATTGACTGGCTTGTTGAAGTTCATTACAGATTTTGTTTATTACCTGAAACTTTATTCTTAACAGTCAACATAGTTGATAGGTTTTTGTCAGAAAGTTTGGCCTCTATGGTCAAATTGCAACTTGTAGGTATCGCTGCACTTTTTATTTCAGCCAAATATGAAGAAGGGTTGGCCCCATCCATCAAAAATTATATATATATGTCAGAAGAAGGTTACACAGAAGATGAAATTCTCAAGGCAGAACGATATGTATTACAGACTATTAATTACAAGTTGAATTATCCCAATCCAATGAATTTCCTTAGACGAATCTCAAGAGCTGACCAATACCATATTCCAGCTCGGACTGTTGCCAAGTACCTAATGGAAATCACGCTCCTTGATCATGCCTTCTTAACTTGCACTCCCTCCATGGTTGCAGCAGCTTCATTACACCTGGCTCATATAATGCTTAAACGTGGTGAATGGGTTAGTGTTTGGTCAAAGTCGTGGTTTGTGGGGTATCACTATATAATAGTTATTATTAATATTAATGTTTAATTACATTTAATTAATCATTCTTTCATTATTTAAAAATATTGCTATACCCATGTATATATAGACTGCGAATTTGATTCATTATTCTACATTTACAGAAGAGCAAATCAAACCTTGGTCAAAAATGATTTTACAATACTTGAGAAGAAACAATAAATGTGTCGATCAACTCTATTCTAAATACTCGACTAAAAATTTTATGAAGGCTAGTTTTTTTGTCAGAGACTGGGTGACGAGACATGATAGACAACTACAGCTGCAACAACATCAACATCAACAACATCAACAGCGATCTTCATCTTCAAAGTCATAATTGGTTAAATTTTTTTAGCAATTTTGTTATAAAGAAGGGAATTTGATGTTTAGTTTTATATTATCTAAATTTTGTTTGAAAGTATTAAAAAGAACAAGAATTCAAGAATTAATTGAATAATTTGCATTGTGGTGATTGATCTATATCAATAATAAAAACTTTCCTTGTTATTATTATTACGAAGATACGAGAATGTCAGTTTAATGTTTGCATAATATTGAGAATTTTAAAATTTATCCTTTACCATCGGCATATCTACATTTCACTATTATTTTGTCTTTAATGATACTTGTTGTGTGTGAAATTCAATTAGCCAATCAGAATTGCGTATTCAAACACCCACCCCAAAATTTCACGCACAAAAGGAAAATGTTTCATTAAAAATTCGCATTCCATGTGGTTTATTATAGCAATTATATATATTTGAGGTAATTTATTAGCTCTCAAATAAAGTAGTAGTAATTAATATTTAAATAGACTGTGACAAAGAGGGTTGAGGATCAATTGTCACAAAGGGGTTTTTTTTTTGATTTGGTCACGAGTCATACCAAAAAATTTGCTGTCGTTTTTCATGTGGAGTTGAAGAAATGTTTCTTGAGCCGAATCAAGCCTTTCTTTTTTTTTTGCAGTATCCTGAAGTATATTGTGTGTAATATTTTTTCTGCAAATATTATTATGCGTTGAGATATTGTTTATCAGTCAAATCTCTTTCAAATTAGACAGTATCAGTATGCATAATACCTATTTTTCTAACTGTTTAGCGAAAATTTGTTACGCAGGAAATATGTCGTTTCTTATATTTACTTGCTAGCAAGTGCCTTCAAGAATGGGTTTAAATGTCCTTTATATATGTTTTCTTCAGATATCTACTCGGGTATCTATCTATCTACTCAGATCTCAAGATTTGAAAAATCGGTTCCTAAAATTCATTTTGCATGGTCTTAGTATTTATTTTATCACTTTGGTTATGTAATTTATTACTTAATAAATATATACCGAATAATAGCATCAACTGCTTAGATTGTACGTAAAGAAAGAATTTCGCCCAAAGGTTTAGTCGTAAATGGGATAGAAAGACTTTTAATCTGTGGATTGATTATAAATACTGTTTGAAATAAGTTAAATTTGATAATACAAAATTAATACATCCATATACAGTTCATTTTCTTTATGTATGTATACCGGATCTTTTAAATGGATCTTGCTCTATAACGAACGAGTTTAAGCCCAATTTACATGTCTCATATATATATATATATATATTATATACCAAATGGTCCGTTATATGGAGAGTGGACTCTGGAGTTCTATTCGTAAAAATTGATTCGTTTGATTCGTCTGATACAATCCGAATACTCGAATTAATAAATCAATTACGAAGTAGATTTGTTTAATGCTTTGTAAAATCCCTAGATTATTCACTAATAAATCTCATAGAGTTATGCACGATCTAGGACACCATCAACCGTGGTTCCAAGATAGAAACTTATTGATAACACGTTAAAAGTTCAAAAAAGCGTTCGTGATGTGAACTGTAGTATTATGAAGCCGATCTCGATAAAAGTGGTTTTCTCTTATCGAAGCAATTCATAAATGAATTTAAAAACTTTATATAACAGGCTTTATATATTCAAGTTTTTTTTTTTGAGGATACATTTTGTTGATTGGAGCATAACTGCAGAGATAGTTGACTTTGATATCCAAAAACGAAAATTTTTTAACGTTATCAAAACTGCTCTATTGATGTCACAAGCACTCATTATTATATATGAATTTATACTCATCCATTTTTTCATGTAGAGTTTGCTAGTCAACTATTAATAACGTTGGAATATTCTAATACTAATAATTTTATTAGTATCCGTGTCACCCACCAGATTTTTTTGTATTAGTATGACGTGTAATTATGACAAGTCTATTATTATAAACTAGTCAAATATTGTATGATTCAACTACAGAAATAAATTAATTAAAAAATATGCTTTTTTTAAATGAGAAATAAATAATGGACTGAAAAATCATTATCTTCTCAACCATGATATGTTTAGGAGTAAATGTTTGACGATGATGAGTTAAGCCAGATAAAATCTAAACAGCAAAGTCAAGGCCAAAGCCAAAGAATAATCTGTGCATGTTTTTATTATTTTTGGATTTGTGAACAATAATAATAAATAATAATAATAATAATAAAATCGTTAATTGGGGCATACTACAACAAAACCAGACAAAGTGACCATTCGTATTACCAAGAATTTAGGGACAAAATTTAGTAACGTGATTATTATTATTTTATAATCTCCCATCTATTATCTTTTTTTTTTCTTAAATGGTATATAAAATTACTTTTATATATATAAAAATAATTAATTTGAAACTCATTTACATCAATCTACCATGGAACCTAAGGATTATAGTATAATCAGAAGTATTTTGAAGAAAGAACAAAGTGAAAAGATTCAAAATAAATGATGCTCAGATGCTTGAAAATTATCTAAAGGAAAGAGAAAATCACCTATGAAATTTACCAAGAAAAATCATAACCAATAAAAGAACCCAAAGCCTAGAAAGAAATGAAAGTTGGAAGAAACACGGCTTATTATATAACTTAATTTTTTAATTATCAGTATGGGAGAGTATCATGAGATTGTAAATTGAGGACCAATTAATTGTCCTGGTAAGCAGTGAGTAAATTTCGTTGTGTAACTAGTATAAATTTAGAAACTATTTCCAGAAATTCAAATTTTGATTGGTTAATAATTTTACACGCGCCCTTTGCGCCCTCTCAATTTTACAAGTGTTGATTGATCAAAACGAAATTACTACAGCATTCATGTGATGTGCTAAATCTTGAAAACGATCAAGGAAAATATTCTGATTTTTTTATTAATATGAGTAAAGAATAATCAATTGATCTATTAATAATTAATAAATTAATAATAATCTTTGAATTAATAACCCTCCTGAAAATAATAAAATAAACATATTTTACCTTATTGCAAATTTCTGCATAGTTAAGGAGGAGAAGCCATTGCGAATTGTTCCATGAACTTTCTAATGGTTAATGGTCTGATCAATCTTTAATCATTAGTTAGGAACCCTTTTGACTTTACTATGTTGCTTGTAGGGACACCTCAAGTGATATAGTTGTAAATAGTTCTTGTATATATTGTTTTATTTCTTTATTTTTTTGTTATTTTAGGCTGTGTGCTGGCAGTGTTTGGCATTATCACAGTTAGTAATAAGAATTGCACAAAGGATTGTATAGGCTGTGTGCTGGTGATACTAAGGAAATTGTATCATTAGTAAATTGTTAGGCTGTGTGCCAGCAGTACTAAGGAAACAGTACTGTTAGTAAAAGGAATTGGAACCTTGAGCAGCTAGCTAAGGGATTACATAAATATTGGACTATGCTTTATTTTATTCATTGGGCATGTCATGAACTGGTAGCCAGCCAAAATTTGCTCACTTGCAGTATGTGTACAATGAAGAATCTATGTATCAAGTTTGTGGTATAACTGTGTGAACATTCTAGCCTCAAAACCACAGATGACTGTAACAGCAGTACATATAACTGGTTGCCAGAGTTTGTATTTATAAAGGTCATTGGACAAAATTAATATTCACTATTTCTTTTCCTGATGTTGCATATCATATAAAATCACTATGTGATCAAAATTAATATTACTACTATTAGTATTAGGGCATATTGATGGATTGATCATCTGCAGAGATGTGTTTGCAAAATGACCCTTGAATCATCTGTCATGTTGCTGCTAATTTGCATGTATTGATCATGTTATTGATAAAAAAAAAGAAATCAAATCATTGATTACTGACATGCTTGTAAAACTTCTAAGAGAGGGTAAGGAAAAAAATTTTTCTTTTTGGGAATCATGGAAAATGTTTGATAAAGTAAGTGATTGGGTGTGAGATGCCCTAATTAAATCAAAATTAGGTAACATAATGCCGATCAATAAAAACTATATAAATAAAATCGTATCAGAGCCTTCAAATAAAGAGATACAAACATGAAACTAAGAGAAATTATAGTAAATAGATTAAGCTTTTAGATTAGAGAGTTTTTTTTTTGCTAAATAAAAAATATTTTTTTTATATATTCTAAAGAAATTGAAAAAAGATTGCTAATAGGAAAACTTTATAACCAAATGAGATAGGAAAAAAAGCTCTCTGTAACTTTATTATAGAAGACTTAAACAATAAAATTATAAAAAGTTTTGTTTAATTTTATTATAAAAAAAAAAAGTTATCATGGTTTAAAATTATTCAATTTATTATTAAATTTTACCATAAAAATTTACATAAATTAATAGAAATTTCTTTTTATAATTCATATTTTCAAAAAAATATATTTTAGTTGAATTTTTTACAATGTATTGAAATATATGATAAAGATACTAAAAAATATGCACATAATAATTTGTTATATTGATGTAACATACATATGTTTGATGATCAACCACCATCGAACACCACAGTAAGTGATGTAAAAGAAAATTAAAATTTATTTATTATTAAAAGTAGTCTGTGAGTGTTTCTATAATTATTGATTCCCTAAATTCTGCTGCAAATCTTATGTCTTCAATCCCCACCTCTGTCTTCCCAGCATAATTTGCACACTGATTACTAATTGAAAAAAAGTTGATTAGTGAAATTATACTTTAGTTACATATTAATTTTTTAACTTGATATTGTACTCACGCATCTCTGAACAATCGAATCAACCTTCTCTCCGTTATCTATTTTGAATGCCAAGGTTAATTTAATTATTAATATTTTATTAAAAAAATCAATCCTTTGGTTGAAAAAGAAACTGTACCCTCTGCAATTCTCTTATTGCACCTGATTCAAATCTCACTCTTGGTCCTGCTATCTCCCTCACTAATCCCTCAAATGCACCAACACCTATGTCAAGCTCCCTTACCCTCCTTCTTGGCTATTATAATTTTAGTGTAAGGAATATGAAAATATCAGAATTTGAATCTCTAAAAAAAAACAGAAAAACTTATAAAAAACTTACTTCATCAGTTTCATCAGTTTCACTTTCAGTTTGATAAGTCTTGTCACCCTCAGTCTCATCATCACCAGACCCATCATCACCA